TGTATGTATGTATGTATGTATGTATGTATGTATGTATGTATCTATGTATGTATGTATGTATGTATGTATGCATGCATGTATGTATGTATGTATGTATGCATGTATATGTGTATGTGTGCGTATATTAATCGTGAGCATGTCATCTAAAAATTCCATAGGCATTAAAGCAAGCCAGACAATCATGCATGGCTAAAAATAACGCTTTTTCTTCCACCAGTTCAAAGTTGAAGACTTTTGCGTATATGGAGCAGATAGAATTTTTTCTTTTCCTCCTTTTTTGCAAGCTAGACAGGTAGCACCTATCAGGTTGAGGTATGCTGAATGCGAATGGTATGGCAATCTGTGCTTACAATGCACAAATTGTTACATAATTTTATTGGGCAATAAACGTGTTTCCACTGATGCCGAGATGACCAAAATGAGCAGACAAAGAAATTTGAATATTCCCTTTTACGGAGCAAGTCGTTATAAATGACGTCCTTTACGGTACATTAGCTTAAAGCAGCAGCAGGATGTTACTGAAAAAGGAGTCAAAGAAAATGACGACTAGATTCCCAACGGAAGGCAAATATGATCAATATTCTAACCGGTTCTTTGTATCTTGCCATGAATGTGTCACCTTTCCTTGCGAAGAATGATACTTTGGAGCGTGCTTACTATTTTGCTTTTCTATCTTTCCAGCACATTTATTGATTATATCTGTAGTGCATGTGACTCCTCTTAGTGCTAGCTTTGCAATAAAATTACCGTGCACAAAGTTTTCTCCGAAGAATTGGTTTCTCTCGAACTTCATCTCATCTTACAATCTAGCACTTTATATCGCCATTGACAGCATATTTAGAACACTTGTATGTAGTATATTTAGTATCTGGCCGTATAAAACGTACACTCTTATTTTCATAACACTTCTAGGCGAACGAAAGAGAAGGAGGAAGTTGGATCAATATCATAATTTTCTAGTTAGATTGATAAAGCTCTCCTCTAGGAAAACTCAAGAGACTGTTGCTCAAGAAAAAGCAATAGTATTTACATTTGCCTCGCAAATGAAGCGCTCTATCCACCTTAATATGGAAGGTTTGGTGTTACTTTACAATGGGTTGGTAAACATTAACGATACAACGTCCACAAAACACTAAAAATTTATTACCTCTGTCTTAAAACTTGAATAGAACTTAAAAAAAAGGAGCCGATAAAGGGCTCGCATATGAGGACAACCGATCATAAAACACAAACCCTCTTTTGTTCTATTGAACATACTTATTAAAGAGGCATGACCGAATATTGGGCCTGTATTCGCATACATGGAACCTCAAAAGGCGTTAAAACATTTCGTTGCTAAAGAAAGCTCTAAAAGATTTTGGGGGTTTACAAAATTCGACAGAAAGCCTTCGTTTTGGAATAATTTTTAATAACTTAACACAAAAAGTGTCATTCATTACGTTTGTTGTGGATGACAAAAAAACTCGTAAATCACTTCTCTTTTATCCTATGCAGAACAATGGTGTAACCATGGAAAGAAACTTAACTTTTCAAGAAAATTTTGCTTTTGAATATCTTACATTAAAAATTAAACAACTTACGCTTCACATTGTGGATGAAGAGGGAGTAAGAATTCTCCGCCGAAATTTCTGTATAAAGTTGCAAAGCCTGGCTTGTTGTACAACATTGGATTTACGCTAAAGTAAACTATTGTATAATTTGCTTAAAAATCTGGCGTTATATTAGACAGGACGTTTTGAGCAACGATGACAGCCTTTCTCTGCAAGATTTGTGAGATCAAAAATGCAATAAATTTAAGATGTTTTTCAAATTAGCGGTATTTAGGGTATCAAGAAAAATATATTTTAAGAATCTGAAATAAATGTTGTTTGCATTATCCTAAAAATGGCGGATAGCACTGCAAGGGTGTGTTTCCGGTAGTCTACTTCTTAAAAATGGTAACTTGATTTTGAATAAGGTGCAGGCTAGTCGGTTTTTAAATAAACTGAAAAACGTAAAATAGTACTAGTTCGTTTCATAGATTCAGATTTATTTACTAAGAATATCAACTCTACTTGCAAAATGCTTTTTGATAACTGTCAAAATATATAACTTAATAACTTTCTATACTCAAGTTCTAAAAATTTGTTTTGTTATAAGTCTAAAGCTGCTCTTTTAGCTTTACTGCAATGTGATAGCTTCTGAAACTTCAAAAAGACCTTAAGCTTGCAAAAAACCAGTTATAACTCGTTCCTCCTGTTTCTAAACTTCCTTCTTTGTGCGTAAACTTATATACAGCACCGGAGCAAAGGCTGCAGGTTGGAAAAGCGTAGACCGTAAAAAGAATCATCGAGTGCTCAAGAGCGCCTTGTATTGAATTTGTGTAGAGCTGAGAAGTTTTCCATTGAATCTATGTAAACACTAAGTTATTAGTTACAACACAGTTACTTTCTCGAAAGAAAACATGGTGTGGATGTATGTATGGTACAAATTGTGTTGAAAGTTGATGTTGGAAAGGTGCTGACGCTTCAAACTCATCTTCTAGAATTCTCATTTATTTAAGGGTACGCTAATTGTGATGCTCATCAACATATAATTTATATGGAATCATCTGAGGAATCACTTTCGAGTCAATATCATACATACGCGTGGGAAGATTCAATCTGTTACTTTCACACCGGTGAGGTTCGATGGCTTTACGAGATAGACAAATGGCACAGCTTATTCATGCGCCTCGAAATCATCGTAGAACGACGGATCTCCTGTCTAAAAGATTGCGGTCCCGAAAGCATTACGGTTAATGCGTTGACGGCATTAGCCCTGAATCGGTACAATCTGCATTATTTTGTTGAGGTAAAGTACTAAATGGGTAACTTTTTATTGAAAATAAAAAAATTCTAGTCCTTTTTTTAAAAAGCAATAACCCTCGCACTTTACTTGCCATCGTCGAAACCAAGGTTCCTAGAAGAAGCTCAGCAGCAGGATTCCGGAGGGCACAATTTTTTTTGGGAGAGAAGCAGAGGAAGTTCGTAAGAAGTCCGCAATTTCAAAGATCTTAATTTTTCTTTGTAAGGAATCCGCAATTCTAAAGATCTCAATTTTCCTTCCATTTTTTCCTCCTCCAATGCTCTACGATCATCTCTGATAACTGCCTCCGTATAAACACGTTCAAAAGTCCGCTTCAAGGTTGAAAGCGCATCGTGTGGGTGTTTAAAAACGTACGTTCTTTGGAAAGCATTTTTCTAAGACAGAATAAAAATGTTTAGTGCTCTTCGTTTGAAATCCCATATGATGAAGTTGCAGGTTCAATTTTATACTGGGGCACAGTAATTGCTTGTCAACGTCTGGCTGCCCTTCAGGGACGCGCAAAGCTGGGTGAGGAACATCGGAAGCGACGCTCTAGCATTTACTCGCAGAGCCGACGGGTGCAGATAGGGGGCAATGTCCAACGTCTTAGGATGTTTTAGGAGCGGATACGGGTAAGAATGCTAGCTCCTCAAACGCTGTCCGAAAACTCAAGGACGCTCCAATTAACTACATTAATATCGGGATCCGTCACTGGACGACCTAAAAAGCTGGCTATATTTTGAAAAGACGCAAGTACAGGGTGGCGAAAAATTACGTGCGCATGACATTTGGCTCCGTTTTAATTATGTAAAGCATTTATAAGAACTTTTTCATGGTGCCCTCAAAGCAAAAACATCCCAATCATTCTTTCAACAAGACTGAGCTTCAGCCCGTAAAGCCAAAGCAACTATTCTCTTCCTACCAAAATTGGCTCTTTCTTAAATTAGGATTTGTTGCCCGCGAACGGCATAGATCTGAATCCTTTGGACTTTTCTGTTTGAGGCTTTATGGGAGAGCAACTGGGTTGTTGTTGAAACTTGGAACAATCTAGACGTAAACTACCTGCCCCGCACCATCGATTCCATGAAGAAAACGCCTGTATCAAAGCTGGTGGTGGCCACTTCAAAAATTCTTTGTAATCATAAAAAGTTGTGGCTTATTGTTATATAAAATTATTTCTTCAAATTTTTGTTTGCAAAAAATAGGATTTGAACGCTTTTTATGGCGTACGTAATTTTTTGCCACCCTGTAGGTATAGCCCGTGCACAGGAAACGAAGTGAAAGGGTGAAAAATCGCACGCTGATTGGAGGTGGTTAAAAGCTCTTTTATAATAGCACGGGCAGCAGTCGAATGGAAAGATGTAGCTGTCTCAGAAAGCCTAAAAAGCAAACTCGCCGCATTTGATCGATTAAATGATGAAGTCTTGAGCAAAATGGACACTGCAAAAATGTCCTTTGAATTGTCATCGCGTATAACCGCAAGATGCGGAGAAAAAGCGAAGAATGTGTTGTTTTGGCAAGAGCGTGATGAACAAATCACATTCACCCACAGGATGAGATACTCCTCCACGGGGAGGGGAAAGGAGGGAGGGGGAG